TGGACGTGGTCTGCGTGGTGCTGGGTGCGTGTCTGGGCTGGTGGGGCGGGGCGTGCGGGTGCCGGTGCAGTGCTGCGCTCCCTCGGTGGCGGGTGGCGGGTGGCGGGGCTCGGCGCTGCCCTTTGTCTCCGCGCCGCCTTGATGCTCCTCGGGCTTTGCTTCTCGCTGCTCTTTGCTTGCCTTTTCCGCCGGGGCTCCTGGGGGAAGTAGGGCATTGATTTTGCCTGGCGGTCCCCCCGCTTTGCCGCTTGGTCTGGTTTGTCCCCTTCTCTCTTGCCAGCTCAGTTTGCCCCCTCAGCAAAAAAGCTGCTCGGAGTCTTGTTGGGACACGTCGGGCAGAGCCCAGCAGCTCCTGGCCTCTCTCCTGTATTGCACCATCGAGATCTCTTCCCCTAGGGCTGGGGATTAGATGGTGCGGTGTTACCCTCTCCATCTGGGCCATGGGCTTTTGCACTTCTGTGCCTGTTGTAATGGATCTGTGGTTACAGCAGGCTGTGTTGTGAGAGGGAGGAGGACACGCTTGGAAAGTAAGGGAGGCGGCAGGTTATGCTGCCTGGCTGGTGCTGTAAAGGTGGGGAGCAGTGGGCTGTGTCCCCAATAAACCCGCCCTCTCCCTATACAGGCAGTCCTCGACTTGCAGCGTTTCTAAATTGACACCGTTTCAACTTTTTGACGTCAGTTTTGACTTTACAACGCTTGATCTGATGTGATGGCATGACAGTGCACAAGTCGCTGTCACCCATTTCCCTGGAGAACGTGTGTCCAAACTTCTTTGGACGTTTTCTTTAAGAAAGCAGCCAAGACTCCAGAAAAACCTGCAGCTAAGACTCCTGAGAAGACTCTAGCCAAGAGCCCTTCAGAAGTCCAGCAAAGTCACTTCAAAGAAGTCCTTCCAAATCAATATGATTGCTGTTTACAATATAAATACATTAATGTAGCTGTATTACTCATCTATAATTGATTGAGTACAAAATTCTGGGTTATCTTTGGCAAAAACAGGGTATTGGGCCTTGGTTCCAGAACCAATACCCCGTTTATAACATTGTTTCTTTCTTATGGAAAAATTGGTTCCAAGTTGCAACGTTTTGACTTAAGATGCTGTTTTCAGGAACCAATTGTCATAAGTCCGAGGACTGTCTTGTACTCTTGCTGCAGCTGAAGCTTGTGGTAGGTCTGAATTTCCAGCTAGTTTTGATACTACTAAAAATGTTTATGAGCCCTGGCACTGCTGTGCACTGCACTAATTCACTGTCTAGCTGTTCATCTCGCGCTGTCAACAGCAGCTGGCATGACCCTCAGTGACATCTTTCAGCTGCAGCATGGCTGTACTGTAGTGGCTAAGGCTGATCATGCAGACTATTGTTTCACGTTGTGGGGGGAGTTTCTGATGAGCTGTTCTGGGGCAGTGGAGGGAGTTGTCTTTAAGTTGGTGATGGAAAAAGACCCCTTTTTGGTGTACCTTAAGGAACAGCATGGGTCTTCCTGGAGAAGCAAATCTTGATTTAAAAAAAAAAAAAAAATACTGTGTAATATTTTTAAATTGGTTCAGACAGCCCTGGCTTTCATCACTTGCCTGGCTATGACATGCAGCTCAGCTCTGTGGGGATGGGGTGGGGTGGGGAGGGGACTGGTATGCACCCAGGACACTCAGAATGAGCATGAGCAAACAAGCCGCACTTCAGTCTTTTTGGGATTATAGTGATGCTGCCAAAGCAATTCAGTCACATTGTAATTGCCTACAGTACATTTGCAACTGTAACAATGTCTATTTGCAGCCAAATAACACTCCCAAAAGGGTGAGGTTCTGCCTATTTACTTTAAACACAAAAATTAAACTTGTTTAATTCTGGTGCAAATGACTGAATATTCCTTTAGACTGCAGAAGCTTCAGTAGACATTACTCTTGGAAAATAACTCTATATTCTAACTTAATTGTAACAGACAGCTCTGGTTTTCTTAATTGGAAAAACTTTTATACAAATATTTGTGCACACAGACATTTAACAGCCGGCCAAAATAAAGGCATACAACCAAAAAATGCCATGAATTTTAAAGTTTCCAGATATGAGCATTCTTTTATGGTCACTGCTTAGGTTGGTAGACTTAGTACCTTCTTGCTTGTGGCTTGTCTTGCTTGGCAGCAGAATGGTTTTCTATCTCATGTTGTTGGGGTCTTGATTGACCAAGATGCCCAACTGCTCTGCTCAGTGCCCTGGATGGCAGAGAGCTGCCAGGTAAACAAGTATATGGTCTATGTCAAAATCATAATTTTGGGGAATGACCTACGTAGTAGTGCACTGAGAGAAAGAAAAGGGGAATTGGGCTGGAATGTCTTGCTTGAGTGGGTTGTTTT